GGAGTCTCTTTATCCGAATTAACTCTGACCCCCGAAAAACACGTTAAAAGTCACTAAGAAAAAATTTAAAATCGGTCAAGTCTCGCGCTAAGTACAGGCAATGGACTGTATAGTCCGTATTCACAACTCGCTCTTAAAGTCACTAACAGAGTGGCTTGTAGTTAAAAGTCACTAAGAAAAAATTTAAAAGCGCGCTATTAGCACTAAAAGCGAGTTCTGAATACGGGCTTATGTATGTACGTACAGGGCACGGAGTCTCTTTATCCGAATTAACTCTGACCCCCGAAAAACACTTACGTATAAAAAAACTCTTCCAAGTACAGAAGTGCTGTGGATGCCTCTAACAAAAAATATTAAAATCATATTATTAATACCAAATTCAAAAATTGAAGTGCTATATTGGTGTGTACTTGGCACCGCAATTTGTAAAAAATGTTTCAAAAATGTTTCATCAATAGGCTTTTTCAATAATTTTCGAGAAATTCTATAGTTCCTGATAGATTTTAATAACAGTTCTGCTACGTAACATCGTTAAAATACGGATTTTTCAAAAACAGAGGCTTTTTCAATACTTCTTGTAAAGTTAAAAAGCGTTAAGTAGCGGAGAACGCATTATCGACTGAGACGATGATCACAAAATCCTACTTCCGGACCCGCCGCTACGATTTAGCGCCATGACTTTAATGTCGCCTAAAACCGTAGCGTTGAGCATCTCCCTATTCATCTCTGCAAGCTATCTTCAGTTAAATGTTCTTTATACATATATATTAATTGTAAATTGTCATATTAATACACATGCCACTACGTCTACTCAGCTACTCAGCCACGTTGTCGAATCTCTAGCGTCTATAGCAGATTTTAAGTATAGCAGGAAAAAGTATATAGGGAATCATTTCACTTCCACGTAGCCAACTCTTGAGCATTACAACGCACGGTAGCACCGTCAATTCGAAGTTTGGCGATCAGTTTCATTCCTCCATAAGAAGACTAGAGACGCCAAAGCTATTGCAACAAGTTCATATTTTCAAAAGTCCCGGATAGACGGATAAGCCGTGAAGTCATTATCCCAGGTGAACCGTATACAGTATTCTATAGAGTTTTTAAGCCGTCCTTTCATGTATCCTTCTCGTTAGAAGTGAAATGTTATATAACGCTCCGAAATTGATTTAAATATTTAAGTACTTCTTGAATCCAGTTTCATGCTTCCATATCTCCTATTCATTGAATACCACAGTCCAAGTCGATGACTTCTCTGCGACCTACTTATTTCCTGGGATGTGCATACATAAGCAGACTTTGTGTTCTCAACGTTACCTTTGCGTCTTGCCAAGGGTGGCGAGGCTGCATTCCCCCCAAATTCAGAGGCAAAGGAATACTACGAAGGTGATCTTTAGGTAGGGAGCATTGTCAGACTCAAATCAAACTGCAGCAACTGTTTCTAGTTTCAAGTCCAAGTGGTTGACCTCTTGATCGAGACGCCGTTGACACTAGTGCCCTCTCGCGTCGCAATCGACAAATTGTTAATAGCGTATATATAACGTTTACTGTTTTCTCTTTGGGCTTCGATAATAATGCAAATGTGATCCACAAAATCACTCACAAATACTACACAGACACAAGTTTCTAAGTACGTACTTCTTATGACTCCATATCAATTGTACGTGTATTCGAGCGAGGAATGTCACTTTTATATGTATATGTTTTTGTAACAGATGCTTAAAGAATACTCCGTAATTCCCCACCAGAGGGCACTTTAGAATATTCTTTTTTTTGGACAAACGGCCATAATATTACCTAAAACTTATGATAGTGACGTCATAGGCATCTAAATTATTTTTAAGGGGGTTTAAGGGGGTTTAAGGGGGCTATTAAAAAATATTTTTTAAGCAGGTTAACGGTGCCATCTCTTATGAAAAAATGGCCAGACGGCGTTTTCTTTGAGCATTTGTTACAAAAACTGTTGTATCTAGCTATTAACGAATAAATATAAGACTCATGTGATTGGTGCACTCGCCTAACGGCTCGTGTACCGAACTTCACACTCGTGTATCACACGGATTCGTACTAGATAAATAAAATACTATTTAACTCCCTGCGTTTCGATTCGCCGTAACAGTGCTTTAACTTTGTAAAAATATTTCAACGCGCAATAATTGTGTCGAAACGTTGTAGCATTTCTTTATTAAAAGAGGTTTTAATGCTATTGACCTTGGTGTCCTGTTACGTTTCCTCCACGTGAATCCTCACTAACTACGTCACGACGATTCTTAACCTCTTCGGCGATGAACTGTGAATGGAATCCCAACAACGGAATATGTGAGTGAGCTTATGCTCCGTATGCTTTAGATAACTTGCATAGCATATAGAGTCCTCAGGAGTAATTGACATTTAAAACTTCATAGTGGGCTCATCTTAATAATTAGAATAGATGAGTACTGGTTGCCAAGTTTTTTTATCAGAAGATATTTTTGTACATCCTCTATAGCATAAATGTCACCGTATTATCTTCTGTCTCGAACTGTATTCTCGTGTAAAAACCTGGAATTAGTAAATGCAAATATCAAATGATAACGTGCTTTCGTAAAATAAATGATGAAAGGTCAAATGTATATATTATGTAAGTAAATAACGGAAACTGCTCTCGTGTTATAAATGCCTTCGTCTCTGGTCTTTTTCTTCGTATACGTGGGCTTCCCCCACTCAAGCTACGCAGAACTCCCGCAAATCTTCATTTTTTTTTACTAACTTGAGTAACGATAAACAGAAATGAGACAAGCAATACGAGGAGAAAAGTTCAAGAAAAAGATAATTAGTTGGGAGTTCTGGGTAGTTCTCAAAGAGTTCTATCGATAATTCTTGTGGCAAATAGCTGAGAAATTAAAATTGAAAGAGTTCTGGGACTTTGAAGATTCTCCATCGCAAGTAGGGTAGATTCGAAAAAAAAAGAGTTCTAGGAGTTCTGGATAGTTCTATAAGAGTTCTACAAAACGAATACCTGGACTTGATTAATTCATCCAGTATATCGGGAGTATCGGATTTTATACGATTAATTGATTTTTTGAAATACTCATTTCAAAATGATTTTTTGACGAAATCTGGATATGTATTGTACCTAAAACCCATAGGGAACTCTAGAACTCTTTGAGAACTATCCAGAACACTGAAAAAAATACAATTTTCTAAAAGATGGTGGGCTGACGCAGTTTTTCAAACTTTATTTTCCGGCAGATAATAACCGAAACTATTGATAAAAATTATAGAGAACTCTAGAACTATTGTTAATCTATTCAGAACTCCCAAAAAAATTACAATTTTTCAAAAATGATCGGCGCCGTGAAGTTAGCCCCTCATTTTTTTAAATCGCGATTTTTCACATTTAATAGACAGAACTATTTCTAAAAACCATCAGGAACTCTAGAACTCTTCTGCGGGCAATCAGAACTCCAACTATTTTTTTGAAATGAGCATAATAATGGGCTAACTTCACAGGGGTGTTTTATGCTCAATTTGAAATTTGCTTGCGATTAAATGTCTTGTCATAAGATATCATTTTGACGACCACCCGATTTCAAATACACGGTCTCGCAACAGACAAAACTTGGGATCACTCTTTCATTTGATCCTCTTAAGCGTTTTTGAGTGGGGGAAGCCCACGTATACGAAGAAAAAGACCAGAGACGAAGGTGGGCTAACTTCACAGAGGTGGATAAAACAGGTTACAGAGATATAGGAGTCCATCAACTTTATCAGCCTGTACTTCTGAAGTTCTTCGCTGGCATTGACTCAAAACAAAATTTTATTCATGAAACACCACTAATCAATATAATCCAGAAAATTTCAAAATATTTTTATTCGTTAATTGATTCGAGGTGATCTAATTAATGAAATTCGGACTTAGATAAAGATAGGCGAACAGAGACCGACTTGTTTTTGCACTTGTGATTACGCAGAAAGAAACTCATTTTTATAACTCGTTCGTTTGAACCCTCAACATTTTATTTATAGTCTTTAAAAAGAACTAAGGTTCTTAGTTTTTCATAAATGAAACTGAATTGCGTGTTGATGAAAGCGTAAAAGTCAAAAATATACATTGACGCAATAATATGTAGAACTTACACCTAATATATCTCTGGAAATTATGCTCAACTTTACATTTTTTTACTTTAAAATAAAATCATGAAATATCACTTGGCATACGATTTTATTCAAAATTCGTGATCTTCAATCAAACAAAGAAAGAATTATTTCTGGGGACACTCTTGTAGTTAAAATTATATATAGTAAGCTCGACACGTGTATTCTTGACATTGACTGTCGAATTCCCTTGAGGCTTATAACTAGCAGTTCTGCACGCGCGTCTATGCTCGCAGTGGTGGAGAACCCGTAATTCTAGGAAATACTCTCTCACAGTCTCAACAAGACGTTTATAACCAGAGTGAACTGTACTTAATAAACAGAAACTATGGCGAGTAATAAGTAGACATTAAGAACAACAAATATAATTTATGATGTCAATAGATCAGCACAAATTCATTTATAACATAAATTCTTCCTCACAACGATACGTGTCAGTTTTGTTACGAATATTTTATTCACAACACGTGGATCTACTTTTGTCACTCAGCGTGAATAGCAGATACCTTTTTTCGTACCAAATTTAGCCGCAAGATCACAGCGCCACTTCCGGAAAGTCTGTAATGTATTGGCAAATAAATAAAAATAACACTAATTATCTCTTAGTTTTTCTGGTTAAAGTGATAATAGTTGAAAAATGAATAAATTGTGAATAACGTAGCTAGGTTTTATGTCATCAACTTCAATTTTGCACGAGCACTGATTTATTATTTATAAGAAATTCAATCATTTCCCAGTAACGACAAGTAAGATGTTATTGAATTTTTACAAAACTACCTTTTATCAGTATGTAATGTACATATATAGAATGAATCATTTTAAACGTCATTCAATTCTGATATCCAAGTTCCACCAATTGACGTCAAGTACATGGCAGTGGCGTCAACTCAAGATATTCCCACTATACCCACGTCGTCATTTTGCCGACGCACCATAGTACGAATAGACTTCGACGCGTGAGCATCGCCCCGGAGACAGTGAAAGAAATATTTTTTACAAGGTTAGTAGTGTATTGGATTGTGTAACTACAGTGAGAGGAACCTCTTCCCAAATCAGTTATACGAATCGTACGACTAACAATTCCGGACCTCTGATTGGCTGAAACTTCTAATTCAAAAATATTGTACCAATGAGAAGTCGGGTTTTCCGAGTTTTCCGACTAGTACGATTCGTCTGCTGTAAGAAGACATATACATATAGTACATAGAATAAACAAAAAAAAATGATTCCCTGTAGATTTTCGGGAAGAACTATTTGAGCCTATACGAAACGCGGTGTATCGTACTATACATGGGACGCATTCTATAAATAGTACCGTTCCATAGTAACAAAAACCTGATAGGACTTTTATCGGTGTAGTTGATAATCAAACGTTACTGACTATACGAGGATGATGAAATTACGTTGCACATCTTCATTTTACAATTTGAGAATGTTAGTTGTACTATATTACCTATTTTTTAGTACAATGTAAATACGTTTCATGGAAGCAATTCTGAACAATATGGTTTCACTTCTTTTCAATGATTTCAATTTTCTTTGTATTGATTATTCATTAATTGGAAGTACATATTGTCTCCTAAAAAAATTGAAGGTCAATTGGATGTTCCTCAAAGTAAGCAACTGTCATGGGCGTGGCTAGGATAGGATGTCTGTACAGTATGGTATAAAATTCACTAATTTCGTTCGGAAATTTCAGCAGTGTTATTAAGAGCCGTATAGTTTTTGGTTGAGAATGTACTTTAGCCACTATAGCAGGAGCACGCGAAAGTAAACGAAATATACGTGGCAGTTGAGTCTGGAAACTGCGCAGTAAAATATATTATAAACACGTGCGGTTCGCGGAGTGTTGGGCCTAAAGGACTTTTGCAGTTGAAATATACATACCGGTTCATGCATGTATCTTTGCATTGTCAAAATCACATTGTATATTTTACTTTAATCGTATCTGTGAAGAAACTGTATAGCATTTATATTATCGTTACAAATTAAACCTAATAACTTCCATTGTCAATACTCCTATGCCACAAAAAGAGTGTAAGATGGACAATTCTTTTATGTTGAAAATTGTAGAATCATTTTAATCCTTTTAGTGCTAAGCAACGATATATGATTGCAAAAAGTGCCAACGACGATATATGCCTTATCTAGGCGATAGCGTCTTATTATTCGCATTGTTTCAACCTTTTGAATTTTCTAAATATCATTGTCATTTTTTTATGATATTTTTTCTCAAACCTTACTAAATTATATGAAATTGGTCCCGGTATTCTTCGCTTTGGTACAATTATTTCGGTCGACACTAAAGGGGTTAAGTCTGAACGGTTACTTTTGAAAGTTCTCATATGTATAAGTATCGACCTTTCGCACATTCCTGAGATAATTAATGTCGCCTCTTTAAGTCCATTGAGTACAGTTAGAACACCGTAATTTATTTGGTGATGTCAGTATTTTTTTCTCAAATTATAGATGGACAAATAAGCATATGTCCCAAGAGACATTGTTCACAAAAAACAAAATGGAAGACGGAAACAACAACGTAATATGAATTTGAAAATATGTACATTAAATTTTTTTTGACTATATATGTATTTATAGTTGACTCCACTTAACAACGCATATCCCCAAAAGTCAAGTTGGAGATGCCTCAGAGATAATTTCTGTGCCATCAGACGCCTTAAAGACGAGTTTTGGACATAATATATATGTATGTTACCTGGAAAGTATCTACTGAATAGTATAATTGCACATCCGAGAAAAAAAATTCCATATCATAATGGTATGGAAATTCATACGTTATACTAAAAATATGTTGTATAAATCTGACACGAGTGCGATACGTGATAGAAATGCGCATAACGTAACCAAAAAAATCAATGATTTTGCCACGCAAGTGTACGGTACTTGCGTCGAAGAACGGATTAAATGGTCTAGGGAGTTTCTAGGAAATAATCGTTTTTGTATTACCAACATTTAGTCTAGACACAATACAGTCTTATAATATTTTATAAAAACAAAGTTTATATCCAACTACAGCATTGCAATATTATATTATTAATTTCAGTCTGGAATTTCATCTCGAGCAAGACTGATATATTATCACATTACCAGCCTGATAAATCATATCCTTTTCATTTGATAAAAACGTCATTACAAATACAGTCAGCAGTTTTTAAAAATTCTATGAATAGATATGAGTATCTTGTTTGGGTTATTGTGAAAGTGATCATAAATTTGATCAGTTAATCCTACCTAGTGCGCATTAATTTATTACTGAAAGTAACACTAAAAAATCATTAACGATATTTGTATTCGAAATTATTTCTTCAAATAGACGAGAGTACTTCGTAATGCCATCGAAGGTGGGTATTATGATTCATTTAAAACCTATAACAGTATCTATTTAACACTAAATTCTGTCGTTTGCTGTGTTATCAAGAACTCTGATAAACTTGGGAACTACTCAGCGACATTTTCATATGAAACACTGTAACGTTACATCATCGACTGGACAGTTCAATGAATATCGGATACAGGAAAAGACTTTCTAAAGGGTTACATGGGTTTAGAAGGTTAAAAAAGGCATATTTTCTGTAATTTTTTTTAATATAATGAAAGAATTATTTTATTCAATCTTTTAAGCATATAAAAGAGCAATATTTAAACAATATTTTATAAAATTTTAATTTCAAAATTTTGAAAATTGAGCCTTTGGGATCTGCTTTTCGGAGGCTCCTTAGAAAAAAGTAGTGACCAGGATAACTCATGATAGCTTTATCTCAAATCAAAAAACCAAATATTTTCTGTTAGCAGGTGAGTATAGCTTGTGCTTGAACGAAGGATTTAAAAAAAATTGAAATTGAATTTTTGGCAGAGTTGTATGCAGAAAAATACAATTTTCGGTAAAATCTACACTACGTGTTGCCTTGTAAAATGAGTTGTGATCAAAGAAAAAAAAAACCTTCGTTCAAGCGCCAGCCATACTCACCTGCTAACAGGAAATATTTGCTTTTTTGATTTCAGTTAAAGTTATCTTGACCACCACTTTTTTCTAAGAAACCTCCGAAAACAATGTCCCGACGGCTGAATTTTCTAAATATTTTAATGAAAATTGTATAAAATATTGTTTAAATGTTCCTCTTTTATATGCTTGAAAGTTTGAATAAAATAATTCTTTCATTATATGTTTAAAAAAAATGAGAGAAAATATGCTTTTTTTAACCTTCGAAACCCATGTAACCCCTTCAGGAAATCTCTAGAAAAAATATGGGAACAATATCCAAACAGTATAATAAAATGGAAATACTTCGGGATTTTGGGCAATTTGTTCATACTTTCGAATGGAAATAAATTATGCGCGTATACAATGTGGTTTGGGAAACGTTCACGTGTTATTCTCAACTACCCGAAGAAGTTACTGAAAAACGAAGGTGCCTCGCGCGAGGCTAGGCCTGCTCCGGCGTCGGAGTTCGGGCGTTCATTGGCGGACACACGAAAATCTATAGGAGTTGTCGCCGTACAGTTTCAGAAGCATAGACTTTGGTATTGGAGTCGAAATTCATGAGTATGGACAAGAATGTAGACGTGTAGGCTTGCTGTTCTAAACGCTCATGATACAAAGTTTGGTATATCTGTACATGTTAGCAATTTCAATAATTAATTTTTCAGTAATTATAGACAGTACTTTAGCTTAATTTTACGGCGGTCATCGAGACGCCGGCTGATATAGCTCTCAATTTATATAGAAGGGATCATAAAAATATCGGGAAACCAAAGTATGGGCGTGACTGGTATTGTCAGTCCATCGCATATCCCCAGACGCAGAGCGACGACATGACGGAAAACGATACCACCCATATTATTCTCTGTGTACAATTACATTAGCGAGGTAGAAACAGGCATCGATGATTTCACTAAGCATTCCTATATCATTCGTTTACAGGTATAGCAATATATCATTGATAATGGCCTTTTGTTTGACTTTGGAAATTATAGATTAGGATATGCCCAATCATAAAGTGCATGCGTGTATTCGAGTAGATTATTTACGCAGAGCTCCTCAAATCATTAAATGTTATTTAAAAGATAATTTTCTGCAGCGCACTGTTGTGTGCGATAACGATTTTAAAAAATTTTGTAATCCACTCATATCATCTGAAAACATGATGTTGTTATGATAACTTAAATTGTATTGTACACCATATTGTATGTACGCGTGATCATTCAACCTTAACTTATACCGTATCGCACTTGGAAATCCTTGACATACTTTTACAAATATTTAAGGACAAATTAACCGTACTGACTAGGTACCTTAATTGCGCACCGTCTAATATGCTTATCATTACGTATAGTTGTGAACACGGTCTTACATACAAGTCGTGAAACTCAAGTGAATAGGTGTGGTTAGAGACGTCATAGGCATGGAGGTTGCTCCTATTTTCTGGAGCTGCCGCTACTCGTCGCTGTGATCGTTAGGTGTGTTGCCAAATTTAACGAAATTTAACCGCCATTATGAACCATGATAATGGCACTTCCGGATGGCTCGCAATGATGATCACACGTGTTCAGTACATTCAATACTTTCTCAATGCGCATTCGCAATTTCTTTCTTTACAATTTAAAAGAAAAAATTAAAAAAGAAAAACAATACATACAGTAATGCGCAATTGAAGTGGAACACTTGAATTTTTGTGTATCTCTACGAAACTATGACCGATTTAAAAAAACCAAAAATATATTTTTTAGGAAATTTCCTTCCCGTTCGAATGGTAAAAGTTTTATCCCGATCGGATACAAAATGGCCGAATGGCAGGGGTTGGAGTGAAAAAGTGCATTTTTGAACTTTTTGAAAATTTCGAGATCTAGTAGTTCCGGAAGGAAATTTATATTTCTAATCAGGGAACGAGAGAGAGCATCCTTCGGCAATAAAAAAACACCCCATACACAAAAATTCAAGTGTTCCACTTCAATTGCGCATTACTGTATGTTGAAGCATTAATCGTGAGTGATTTTTTATTTCAAAAGCTGACAAAAAAAAATATTGATTTATATTTACCGTGTTATTTGGAATTCGTCATCCCTAAAATAATGAAGACATACAGAATATGAATGTTGATACTTACTTCAATAAAACCGAATCATATAAATTTACTCCTCTCTAAATAAATGCCCGATATTTTTATATATAATATATACGATGTAAACGAATAGGTTCGTATCTAAACTGGATTTTATATATGATGAAGTAATTCTTCGTGTTCTAACCAGCTTCTAAAAAATATAAAAAAAAAAGGTTTTGAACTCAAAATTGCGGCGTGTTAAACCTGAGACTTGTCCACTCGGCTAAACGTCATTTGCACCGTATGTAAATAGATCGGAAAACATTTATGCTTATCATCCATATGTTTTTCACAGAGACTTGTTGGTACTGTTCTGTGTAATTTTGTCGGGCGAACAATTGCAAGAATATTCATCTCGTATTATTGTTTTTACTGGTCATTCAAGAAGTGTCAGAACAATATTTAATCGTGGGTTACATTGGAGATCTATCAACAATATGGCTCTCTCTTTGTCACATCGTCACGTGATCACGCATTCAACGATCGCAGCGCGCCACGCGGCTTCCAGGGAAATAAATAATGGCTTCATTATGTGTGACTACGATCTTTTATACAGGTCTGGACACTTAGGCGAAAAACGCGTGACGATAAGCTGATCACTGCCGCAAGAGGCGTTAGTGTTGAAAGAGCCTATCACGTGCTAGTACTACGCGTGCGCAGTTATCTCATTCTTGAATACGTAACCTGCAGCTTTGCTCGTTGTAATGTCTAATATACCGTGATTGCAATTGAAAAATGCAACAATTACCAGAAAGTACATCGTGCCTGCTTGAATCACAATGATATGAATTTGCATTTGAAAATCTCACAGGAGTTACAAATAAATTCAGTAAAAAGGTTACGACTCAAGCAAAAATTGACTGTTTTAATTTTCATAACTTTTAGGTGAATTGGTCCATTTAACATTAGTGTTTTTAATCATCAATTCTTTATTTGTCTAACTTATGAAAATTTTATTTAATTGGCATCGCATCGGTTTTTTTGTCGTTAATAACTCTCTTTTTGAATTGGAGATAAGAGGTTGCAGTGAATTTACGGATGCGCATGCGCTGTGTTAGCAGGCTTCTTCGACGCTAGCGATTGTGGGCAAAACCGGCCGCATTAGGATTACGAGCTACAACGTGGTAAGGATAGGGAAGTGCCCAGACCTGTATACAAGACCGTGTGTGTGACATCTCCCACCAAGCTGGTCTCAGAACCTGTATGTAAGATCGTGGTTGTAAATGACATTAGGATGTACCGAAAAATGCAGTAAATGACGTAGGTTATATACATAAATAGGTAATATAATAAGAAAATATTACATCGATTGAACGACCCGATATATCATACAACATAAAGACAATAAGCGTACTAACTTTAGTTAACTCAAATTTTGTTAACATAGATATATATGTTTATGATATATCTAGTACGTCCACAACATACTATTATATTTTTGGGAGTTGAATTTGTATGCAACACTTAGTTCGTAGTTTAATATGATTCTGCACAGTAAAGACAAGTTTTAAGAAACAAAATGCACTTTGCACATTGAATATATTTTGCTAAAAATGAATATCAGATAATATTAAGCTTATAAGTAGTAATTCTTGTCTGTCGACGTCCTAAAGGTCGTCGTGATTATGCGTTACTTACAATTAATAAGACTTTATAGCTATAGGTGGATAATAATCATACTTTTAGTCGTACTATAATGAGATGTTACGTCAACGTTATCGTCAAGGTACGATACCAATATTATTGTGTTGTGTCTGGAAATATAGATGTTACGCTTGATAAGTCAAGTCGGACGCGTTGCAGGTTCGAGGCATTTTACGAAATCTGCAATTACTCAGTTTCAGTTTAAAGCCTCCCACACAATATGGACAAGCAAGGACCTCCGCCTCCTGGTTTTGCACCGCCTCCACCATATTCAGGACCACCGCCAATGAATCCAGGACACATGGCACAACCGAGTAAGTTACTAACTATTTTTACCCCTGGTACAATAAAAATTGGCATTATATAGAATTTTTAATGCTTCTATATGAAGATCAGCCTGAAACTTTTTAGTATAAATTGTAAATTATTTGTTTTTCTTTTTCTTAGACATTTTATTATTCTCAGAGAACTAACATAACTCATTTTTAGACATAATTATCATGCAAAATCCAAATTTGGGACCAGACACACAGCCTATGACCTGCCCACACTGTCACGCCAATATATCTACAAGAGTTGTACAAGAATCAAGTACAAAGACGCATCTCTTTGCTCTACTGCTCTGTTTAATGGGGTAAGTTATTAATTAAAAATTTTCGTGAAATAAAAAAGTATATCCTATCGTAGTTATGAAAAATACAATTTAAATTTTTCATTTTCAGATGCTGGCCATGTGCTCCTTGCCCTTATTGTATGGACTCTTGTCTCGCAACTAAGCACTATTGTCCAGCCTGTAATGCATTTCTGGGCCAGTACGACAATTAAGGATTCCAAATAATTATTTTTCTCTACCGAAGATACCAAGAAGATACACTTTTCCGGCTAGTCATCTAATACAGTAACAGTGGCTGTATAGGCGCAAATGATGCCGTGAGTCATTAACGAAAATTTACCTTCCACGTACAATTTCAAGATCAAAACAATCCTCAACCTACGTATTAGGTTTTCGTATTCCTTTATAGGCATATATTTGATATTTTTTAAAAAATATAATCGTCTAGCAACAACAACATGTGATTATATCGAAGCCATAAAAAATCTACTAAAATACCAGTGTAACAATGATATCTTCGATCTATTTTGACAAAGAACAAGTTTCTTCAATATGCATTACTGTGGCACAGTTTATAAGTTTATTCAACGATAATGATTATGTCCAAAAATCTTTACTAAAGATAGGACTTGTTATTAAAAAAAGTTCTTTTTCCAAATCCTATACATTGAATTGAGGAATGATATATAATACGTTATATACAATAATATAGAGATATAAAGAATATTCATTTGATAAAACGCTTTTGATGTCCGTTTTAATAAACATCAGTGACACATTTTCGCTATTTACGAATCTGCGTTCAATTACAAATGAAAATACACGTTCTAAGCAGCAAGTTCTTGTTCCACGTTATTTACATCGTGGAATCGATTTACCTTTATCTTAAATAGAAAAGTCTTCAGATGAATGTCTACCTTGTGATGGTATTTTGTATTACATATTTTTATGCGTAATAAAAGTTATATGATGTACACGTTGAGAATCCAATGTGTTAATTTTATGCGAGTTCTTTTATTAAAGGAAGAGAAGAAACAAACAATTGCCCGAATGTTGATTTATTATCTCTTGCGTAGTTCTTATATACAATCACCGCACCGCCAGAATACGAAATGGAAGTATACATTGTCAAAATGGCAAGACCACGCCATAATGTGTTCCCATAAAAAAATCATGGAATGATGATCACATCGATCAGAGATTTCATTCGTAAATCCATTTCTCAGCCCAGGAAGCCCAGTCAATGACTTCCTTCTTTTCTTTCTCTCCAAACCATAGGCTGATCTCCTTGTTGGCAGAATCAACGGAGTCAGAACCATGGATGATGTTACGACCCACCTGGATGCACAAGTCCCCACGAATAGTTCCGGGAGCGGAATCCTTGGGATTTGTTTCACCAAGCATAACGCGTCCAGTTTTCACCGCGTTCAGACCTTCCCATACCTGAAAGAATTAAGGTTCAACACATTCAAGATTGTCGTAGGGATTAAAAGCACAAATGAAAATAGACGTTCTTTTCAACCATGAAGCCTTTCAAACTGATTCCTATTGGGCACAAACTGAACTGCAGCAACCTTAAAGTCGCACTGCGGCAGCGATCGTTAAATTATTGTCATTATTTTAAATACCCGCGCGGAGAAAAATGGTCTCGAAAAATGTTTCGGAAGTTGTTGTTGCAAGTTAGAAAAAGAGTCGCGCATAGGATCCAATGCGAGACTGTCGAGACTTTCATTGATAAATGGATTAGAAAGAATAGGACAAAATATTATTTAAGACTGGCCCTTCTACGTAAACTTGTATTTTGTGACAATGAACAAGAACCTCGATGAGCAGCTCAACCAAAAAATAAAGTGCTTTTTTTTTAACTGCTCTAATACTCATGAAGAACTTATCAATAAGCATGATTATGAATTGAAATTGAACTAAAGTATTGGTTAATTGTGTGACCTATTAGATACGTAAGGCTTTATTATTACGTCGATAAAACAAATTCAGTACAAAATATACTCGAAACTTCGAATTTTCTATTGTTGATTTTTTATTTGGTAAGTTTTTCTGCGTCCTAATTTACTCATTTCAGACTCCTGCAAATGTCAGGACCAAATTCCGGAATATTTTGTGCGAGCCATTCGAAGGAAATCCAACTGTTGCATCACATCACTTCCTCAATTTCCAAGTTACCGATAATAAAAACTTGGAATAGCCTTTTGTTACAAAGAAGTTTGATTATAATTTCAAGTTTCCCCGATTATTTTCCATGTCGAAAATTTTTAATTTCACGAATCTAGAAAAGAATCGGAAAGACAGTCACGCATCGGATCCTATTCGCGACTCTTTTCTAACTCACAACTTCCGAAACTGTTTTTTCCGCGCGGGTATTTTCATATAAAGCCGGCTCTCTTATTTGTTTTTCATGTTTACTAAATTTTCTTAATCTGCACAATATTTATCATAATGGATTTGCGATGATACGTTCTTCATAGATGTTCATACGGAATGGCCCAGTTAAAATTACGTATACTACTCGAATGCGTTACTTTCAGCTGGGCTACTCGGCACATTATATAATACATACAAAACATCCGTGATAAAGGAGAAGACTAGCAATCATTATTACACTACAAATAATGATCCCTATTTACACCTTACCTTGTAAACTACAGTCTGTTCAGCAAGAAAGGAATCGCGATTTTTCAAAAACTGTAAGAGATATTTATGTAACTCATGCATGAAAAGCGTTACTTTTCCTGCCTCCAAAGTGTGGCGTAAGTGGCGCTTTATAGCTAAGGATGCGATAAAAATGCTGCGCATGCGCAAATCGGCCCAATTTTACTTTATCGCACTAGTGCTTTCTTCTCGCAGTGCGATAAACTAAACTTTGTTCTCGCGCGTTACCATGAAACGTATTCACTTTGGAGGCCTTCCTTGTTTTCCTTATGGCTGCCTCCTCCAATGAGGAGATGCTCCAGTTACTTTGGAGACACAAAAAGTATCACTTTTCATGCATGCGTTACAAAAATATTATGCGATAGTGATCCGATAAAGTTCGCTTTCTCGCACTCGTATCGCAAATTACTATTATTTCCGACTTTTTTCGTTTGAAAGTACATTAAGAATAGTAAGGCGCATTTGAATTAGTAAACAGTGAAATCAGCGGTACTGTCAATAACAGCCTGACAACGTCTGAGCATACTTTCAACGAGTTTTTCCGTGTAAGAGGCAGAAAAAGAACGCCATATTTTGCGAATGTTTCGCGAGAGCTGCCCCAATGTAAATACAAGCTTTCCAGCAAGGTTGGCCTTCATAATACCCCACACATTTCCGATCGGGTTGATGTCAGGAGATTGAGAGATCCATCGTAACGATGCCATTTTCCTCCTTGCAAGCTTCGCAGAGTTTGCTGCGGTGTTTCGGATCATTGTCCTCTTGTAAAACCCAATCATCGCAATTCGGTCCAAACATCTTGTTTGCTGATTTGAAGGGACCCCGTGAGTAAATTTTAATTGTATTTTCTTAATTTAAATTCTCAGAAAAGAGTTCCAATCCAGCGCGCTTTAACAGTGCGCTGGATCAAAGGATCACCACACATGGACCAAGAACGCTTCAGTCGAACCCATGCCCAGAAAATCACGTCATCTTCTCAATGGGTTGACCATTTGCGTTTTTTTTTTGTGGGCTTCCGACAAAAATGGCTTCGAGCTTGTAGATCGGTATGAAATATTCGCATCCTGTAAGCGCTGCTTAATAGTCTTGATGCTGACGTCCAGTCCCTTCCTAGCTAGTTTGGCCTTGGCTTCGCGAAGTCGAAGACTGTGGTTACGCTCGAAGAGCTGGACGATCGCTTTAACCTGGTTGCTCGCGTTTTCCTTCGATTTGGCTAGTCATCAACGTTTTTCCACAATTCGTATTACGTCACCCACTTTTGAACAAACTTGTTTATTGTTGGTCCTTTTGGATGTGTGCAGAGGAAAACCGCCTCAAATTGCTTCGCGTACGCGGCGCTTATTTCGGCAAATGTCCATGCTTCTCTACGTTTCAAAAGGCACTGAAATAAATTTGTGTCGGCGTCGTAGCCTATTGATTGAAAAGTGCGCCGAAAAAAGTTCAGACGAATATCTTTCATTTTTCGCTATAAATAGCCGATTCCTTTCTTGTTGAACAGACTGTACCTTTAATTAAAAATGATTCGACGATCAATAGAAAAATTAGCATTCCACGAGAAGATTACTATGGATTAGTTATTGAGTCAATAGTGAGAGATAGTTAAAATAATGCACACATACTTCAGTTAAGGCATGCATGTGTACGTCAGCGTGAATGTTTTTTTTACTCGACACGAGAAGTAAACTAACTAAAATAAGATTTGGTAAAATTACAATGTGTGATCTTCGTTATTGACTTTTCATTGTCTTGCTATTAATTATAAAGTTCTATATCATAAGTAATTACCATGGGGACGACGGGTCCAGAGCTCATGTATTTTACCAAGCCAGGGAAGAAAGGCCTGGCAGCCAAATCGGCATAGTGTTGTTTTAGAAGATCCTCAGATGCCTGAAACAATAGAATACGAATTATTTTCTGAATGTGTAATATTATTACTATTTAATTATACAATGAAAACCGTAATATTCGCATATCGTTGTCTGCCATTTTGAATTGAAAAATTAAAAAGGAAAATATCGTTTAAACGAATTCACTCGAAAAGTATGTACATAAAACTTTAATGTAATACACTTATAAAGTCTTAGAAGGTTTCTTCTAAAGGTCACCTCCGATAAGGTTAACAGAACTATTGATCGTGTTCTTGCACGCCCTCTAATCAATCGATTCTACAACAAAATTAAGTTCAGTTACCCCTACAAAAGTTTCACTGGTAATAAATCAAGCTATAAAATAATGAAGCATAAATCGTGATCTGAATGACGATAGTCTGACAAAGTTTTAATAAAGGTTTGTAATCTTAAGAGCAGTTGTATTTTTATTCGCTCTGAACTGTTAACGTTTAGTGCAATGGAATCTTTCGGAGTAGCATAGATCAAAGATTGAATTTAACATATTTTCGAACCATATGATAAAAGGAATTAACACTTGCAAATCACTGCAACAATTTTTATTTATTGATGATTGAAAATCACCACGTGTCTTTATATTTTTCGACATGATCGGAGTCTGCGCAGATGTCTTTCTGCTAACTTACTCACCCAGACCATTTTCAGAGCGACAAGTTTGAAGCCTTTTTCTTCAAACCGCTGAATGATCTTGCCGACGAGGCCACGTTGGACACCATCGGGTTTGATCATAATAAAGGTGCGTTCTTTGTTTTCAGCCATTATGTATTCAGAAATTAAATAAAACAACGCTAATACAGAGCACAAGACCATGCAACGCCGGCAGGTTACAGGAGAGTGAGAACGATTGGGTTCTGTCCATATGCCAAGTAGAAGGGATGCGCCCAAGTCTTTTAACAGGAACGTATACATTTTGGGCGACAGTGCCCGATACTTTTGGTACTTTTTGCTTTTACTTGAATACGCCAAATTTTGTATATTATGAATTGTAATATGACGTTACAGTATTTTTTTTTCAATGTAATATTAAGAACCGAAGATTGTACAATAAACTCGATCGTACGTAAATTTTGAAAAGTAAAGCATTCTTAATGTGGGTACACTAGAAAGCAATAATAACCTTCCTGTTTATAATGTAATAACATTCATTTACAATAGTATTATGTAGGACTATTTTTGCTTCCCGCTATACATAAAAGATTTATTTATTCGTGATTAGATTTCGTGTGTATGCACTTACGATACAGCCCTGGAAAATAAGAACGTCCTTCCGATTCGTCGCAATGACGTATTTCCCGCTTTGATGTTCGCGCAAGCCTCGAACCCAGACACAACCATTGATTTGTCTCGTGTACTCTTATCGTGAAACAAACGTGAAGTGTAGCTTAAGAAATTTCACAAGTGACATCGGGTGTATCATTCTGTGAAAACGAACATCACATAAACGTAATACATCCTATATATTATTTATTCAGATTGGAGTACCAAAGGTAGATCCATGATGGCGGACACATGAAGGCCGCGTTCGTGTTCTTGCCGATGAGATCCTCTCTTGACGTTGTTTTGTTTCGCTGATTTGCTGATCCTCAAAGTGAAATCTGTCCCCCGTGGGACAACTGTGACAAGATAACCAAATTCAGGCAAGATAGAAATCGCGCGAGACGTAATCTTTAAGCGGCGGATACAGATTTTGCAGTTTTGCCTTCGTGTTGATTAACGTATTTTAACGAAGCACCGATGCAGGCTCAGCAACAACAGCAACAGCAGCAAGGCCACCAGCAAATCGCCGGGGCTAGTGTCATCCTCAAAATGAACGAAATTCAGCAACTTTCAACAGTTGGTACGTATAATTAAAAATCATTGATAATACGAGAGCAGGAAGGCATGCAGCTCTTTACATATTTTTGCCCCTATTTTTCAGTCAAAGAATTTCTTTTGTGCTCCAAATCAACGTTCTTAATGTTTTACTCATTTCTCACTCTAAACGGAGTACAATGTCCACGTTTTATGCAGTGCGTACATTTATTGTTATATCAATAGATAATAGAAGTGATTGGAACATTGACGGAATTACGAAAGAACATTTTGTTTAATACCATTCTGATGGATTAAGCGATTTTCGGTAGTAACACGAAGAAGTGCTACTCCAATCCTCTATTTATATTGATAAAAGTTTGTCTTAAATATTTTACAAAGATTGAACAGTTCTTCTAATCCTTATGAATTTTTCATTTTGTCTGTCCAATGTTATATCGGTCATCTTAAAGATATTTTAAGAATTTTATTTTATGGATGATCATTACTTCCGTGACATTGTGCGTGGAAGTTTCCATTATCCAGCTTCTCATTGTCATACCAAATTTACTTACTGATAAATATGTTCTACAAAAATTTTAAAAGACTGTGCGTTATTCTCTGTATTTTTATCCAGTCAAAATGACTTTTCTATTACAGTTTAATGACGAATCTACATCTGCTCCGAAAGCTAAAATCTTTATATATATCCTATACTACTACAATATGACGATTTAGATAAGTCATATAATATTTTTAACACCAATAGTCTGATACTGATTGATACGTGTTATTCATAAATCATGAATTATTCATGAAGGTCGAATAAAAAAAATATCGCCTTGCCAACCTGTATAACTTTTATGATCCCTACGGTCCAACCAAGTTATTAAGTATCAGTACGATAAGAAAATGATAATTTTCACTAGTCATATAAATCCCAATGTACATGAGAAATGCCAAAGTTGCGATAACAAAAAAAACGCAGTACTGGATAGACGTGCCAAATACTTTTTAAATAACATGCGCATGATGTTCAGTAACCGTTGGTGAACGTCATAAAAAAAGAACTGTAAAAACCGTTATCAGGTTTCTATTGTAAAAGTTCAATCAAATTCAGTAATCAAATTTTCATCGCGTAATCGCTAAAAAAAGCAAACGACATTTATTTAGTCCTAGCGCAATCATAATCCTGCTTCGTCATCGGTCACGAGTACGTTTAACACACGTAATAATTCTGGAATGATTATTCAGTTTTCTACAATACCATATGGACAAATAATTACATAAACGTAATTATGATGAAATCTAAGATTATTATTCAAATACAAAAACCATCAATTTTTCTTCAATATTTATACTATGAATATTGAGCTGTATTAGACGTTGTGCTGTAGAACGCTCTGAAAACTATTTAGGAAGCTTATACATCCTAACGGCAATTCGAACCATTTCTCACGTCGACCGCCTTTGTTCCTGACTCCTGTTTTTCTACCGAAATATTCTGGCAGTGCCGATACCTCGTATAGGGCACTGTCAAAAACCGACGGAATATTCCACTGGGTACCGATTCCATCTGCCTTCCGTGCCAAGAGTGGGAACGGCCCTTTGGTAGTCTCCAATGTCAGAGACGTACTTAGTTTGAGTAGGGCCCTGGAATACGATGACATTTTTAATAGAATAAAAATGTAAAAAGTGAACGATTAATAAAATCACATATTGAACCTCGAAGATCGTAATCATTAAGATCGATAAAAAATGGTCTATTTTTTAAATGTTCACACTTATTTAAATTATATATTCAAAAAATAATTATTCTATTTGCTTTTGTTTGAAGATAGTATATTTTTATGATCTTTGAATGAATTATTTCAAAATAATCACAAACACTGCATGTATATAAAATAGACCAAATTCTTAGATCAATTGTCTGATATTCTGTTGCTGTACGTTAGTATATTTTTTATAAAAAATACGTTTATGTTCTTAGAATTAAATTCTCATGTAAGAGTTTTCCATATTAATTAAATGCACCTCTTAGGACTTACGATCAATAACCTGGCTATGGTTCACGTCCCATCGTTCTCGCTCGGCAGTTTCTTCATTATGCAGGGAATACTAGTGATTTCTATACGATTTGTAGTAAAGCAATCCTTTAATTTCCGGAATAAATTGACCAGAAAACTCTCATTCCTCCTAGATACTTTACATTTCAATAAACTCACATCGAATTCTCGAGGACGTTTAACAAGACAGCTATTCGTTATTTAATCCACTGACCCTCTCCGTTACACAACGTTTTCGACCTAGAGCCAAAGCCAATATTACTCGTTACTTTTCAGCTCTTTTACGGTGCCCTACATAACTAATAATTCTATGAGTTGGCAATGCTTGATATTGTCTGGACATTCAATATTGTTTCATTTTGTATATAAACGAGTTGTTAAACGGTTAGGAAACTGCTGTGTAAGACGGATTAATTATTTAATGAACTGTTACCATCTATCTATGTTTTAAAAATATTTTTCATGTATATAAGTAATAATAAGAATTTCCTACAAAATGAAATTTATGCATTTTATTTTTGCTATTCTGTATGTGTCAGTTTTTCTTATTGTAGCATATACACCAAACATTTATGAGAAGGTTTACGTTGATGAGGGGCCCTTAATGTATACAGCCCTGGAAATCCCTCTCTATTCTACTCGGGTATCCACCTTGCCCCCCAACCCCTCAATAGAGTCTGTGATCTGGCGGGAGTAACTTGGCCATAACAGAAAAGAGTACGCAGCTGTGAAATTCATTTGAACGATTGGTTGAAGAGAACTCGGTTTCTAGCAAGAGTACATTCCACTTTTCTACTTAATTCGTGAAAAATTTTCGAAAAAGAAGTGAGCAGATAGTGATAGTTACGACATCTGACGAAATCGCTAGTCGTTTTTGGAGAAAATGAGCAATCACGTGTTGGTGAAAAGTTACCCTGTAATAAAGGGTGGAAATGACGCTTTGGCTGGGAATATTATTATAAGTGCAGTGGAAAGTGGACAAGAGGGTATCATTACTTGGCAAAATGCACAGAATCTTCTGGTCGTTACACAGGATGCTCAAGGCAAAGAGATTATTGCCGTAACTGATGAGCAAGCTATTAACATCGTGCCGGACTCCTATTGTTAGTTTTAACAATATTTTTACTCAGTTTTATAGATAAAGTACAGAATACGACACTTTTATGAAGTTAGCTGTGGATTGTTTGAGTTTTTTACATAAAGCTCTTCAAGAAGAAGTTGTATTCTACATTTTTATCGTTTTTGATTTGGCAGTAGTGCAGTTGGATATCTGTTACGTATTTGCGACTCGAATGACGTGCATGTTTGATTTCATTATATATCACACTATTAAATTATATTAGCTCTAATAATTAGAGCTATTGCAAGTTATACTCTGGAAATTCTCCAATGCTTTGTAGATGCGCCATCCCATTATGATTATGTTCGTTATCGATACGTTGGAAACTTCAGTTTTTGCATTGCATTTGTAGGTATGAAGTGCATGAAACGTGGGAGAGTTTTATTTAGTCGGTTATTTTATTTTTATGCGAAGATACCGCGCAGAGAGAAAATTTATTTATACGCTGTATAATATTTGTTACTTTAGAGGAATGGCATATTTCCTTAAAAGTTTGCTGAATTTACGTATGTAACATATGTATCTACGTTTTCTTTATACATACGCAGAATCATAGCAGGCAAGAAAGTATGGAAACAAGACCCCCTTTTTAAAAAAAAAAATGATATACTATCTTGTTGAAGAAGAAGTATTCAATTTATTATAGGCCAGCATTATTACATATACTGAAATATGTTTATGATTACTTGTAGCAGAGTTTTAATTTAGTGTTTTGTTATATTTCAGGGTTACTGGAACTCGCACACAGAGAATATCAAGCTGGAGATTATGAAAATGCAGAAAGACATTGTATGCAACTTTGGCGGCAGGAAACAAACAATACTGGAGTTCTTCTGTTACTTTCATCGATACACTTTCAGTGTCGCAGGCTAGAAAAGTGAGTTTAGTTATATAAATAAAGATCTAACCAATTTTCAATGACATAATTTACTTCATTTTTAATTACTCTTTCAAATTTAGACTTAAATATAATTTATAATTTTCTATAGGTCAGCCCACTATAGTAGTTTGGCGATTAAGCAAAATCCTTTGCTAGCGGAAGCATACAGCAACTTAGGAAATGTATACAAGGAACGTGGTCAACTGCAGGAAGCATTGGAGAACTATCGTCATGCTGTTAGGTTGAAACCTGATTTCATTGATGGTTACATCAATTTAGCAGCAGCCCTTGTTGCTGCTGGGGACATGGAACAGGCTGTACAAGCATATGTCACTGCTCTGCAATACAACCCTGTAAGTACATTATTTTAAAGATAAATGCAAAAATAGACCTTGCTTTGTCATATAGCGGAATAAATTTATAAGCAATAATCAAACAAATTTTTATATAATAATATTAAAATTAAACAATGATGATAATATAAATGTTTTTGCAATTAACAATCTATAGAAAGAAAATATTTTCATCTGTTTCAGGATCTTTATTGTGTGCGGAGCGATCTTGGTAATCTTTTGAAAGCATTAGCAAGACTTGACGAGGCTAAGGTAGGTTGAACTTTAATATACTGTTAATAGACACTAATATCACGTGTCACATTCTTATGCATTAGTACTCTATTCGAACCCTTTAAAGAGAGTCCATCAAACGTACCTATATCTAAATTGATTATGAATCGTTATCAACTCTGCATAAAATATACTTTGTGTTAGTTTTTATCACATCGATCAAACTAAATTTTCATACGTCAAGTTCAGCTTTTTGGAACGGCCTCATTTGAACAAATATTAAATTACTAACGACAAACATTCTAAGTCCTCTGAGCAATAGATTTTAGTTTTTGCTTTTATTGTTTCGGCAAGTCAATAAGATTCAAATTTCTTACATCTTCTATAATCAAGTCTTATTAAAGGGACAAATTTCAGTTCACTTTTAAATTTACGATACTCTATAAACATAGTTTACAGAATGAATTCTGACGGAGTACAAATGCATAACGTGCATGTGCCCCAGCCGGCGTAGTTCTGAGGAATGTGTAGAGCAAATATATATGTTTTACGTAGCTCATTGCAGAAAGCTGTCTTTCTTTGCCATGCAATAATGTGCGCGGCGCGCAATTATCTGCTATCAAAATTGAAACTGTGCATACATCATCCTCGATTCTCTCGTTTCAGCATTAAATTTTTGATTGCAGAACAAATATTGTGTATCCTTGCTTTTGGTAATTTAAATGAATCACGTTTGACAGAATTTGCGACTCGTATCTCGTCAACGTTACCACTGTTACGATAAAAAAAAAAAAGTGAAACGACCTAGAAAAAAAAACATAGTTGTACAATATTCTTTACGTAAGTTTTCCACAGTTGTACAATTTTCTTCTTAACATACACTTTCCTTGTTTCACTCTTGCAGCAAGCCGTAATAAATCTACGTTGACTCGTAATGAGACAATCTGTACACTGTCAAATGTGATTATTGGGTTTAGGTTTGTGAAGTTGGAGGCAGCGCTAAACCAACAAAGGCAGTGCGCGACTTGTAGCAACACCATCATAACACACGATCATACCAGCATGGTGTTGCAACAATTTTAATGAATTCGCTGACCCTATTTATATTATATTTCAGTATAGTCTACAATACGGACGAAATGGAATGGAGGAGTGGCTGAACTTTTTATTCGCAGGTGATCAGAAACACTGGAAATATACGCGACTTTAGCATGTAAAATAGGGTCAGCAGCGCGCGATTACGTATCTTCTAAGTTTGTCTTTAGATTCTCATTTTTGATTGATTTTTTTATCTTTGTTTTTCATTATGTACAGCATCACTTCCATCTCTATATCCGGTAGTTTGTTTCAGCTGGCATATCACTGGCGCGAGGTTACTTGACTATTTTCAATCTCTCAATTACATTATTTATTACGTGTAAAGGCAAATCGTGAAAGTGATACCAATTTACTGACGACTTTCTGGACTCTTCGTGACTTTCTATGCGCTCTAATGCGTAAGTTGATTTCAAGTTTCTCTTAAATATTACCATGCTCAAATATTGAAAGTTCTATGACTTGCTTTCAATCAGGTAGAAGACGAATCGGCCAAGCGTTTGTCGTTACTTTGTCAAAAATTTTAATTCTAATACGAATTAGAACGCAGTCAGTCTACTTGGGGACAGATGACAGTATTTCTTGTACAAAAACTAACGACGCCATGAGGTCCCATTATACATTACAAATTATTACGTGGAAGCCGAACTAAATTTGAAGAATGTAGTTCAAGAGACAGTTGTCATAGTCAAGCAATCTACTGCAGCGCGGCGCTTGCGATCACATATATAAATGCACTCACGGATAAAGGGTTTTCGTTTTCAAATTGGATAGAATAAAGAAATTATTTACGATAACGACTGTGAAAAGTTGTTCCCACTTTTTTTTCCCTTAAGAAAATAATTCACTCGTGTGGTGCGATGAGGCATTTACATTCAACGTCTTTATCGTCGTGAGCGTATAAACGTAATATTAAGAGCGCAGCGGCATCGAGGATAGTTTTCTGCTAATTTATTATTAATTCCTGAGAACTCGCTAGCTCCTTTAACTTTAATCCATCTCCCGACTCGCTCAGCCACAATTTTGTTTACACTCGAATTAATCTCACAGATTAGCATTCCAATTCGAAGAATTCATCGATGATGTCAGAGCAGATATTCGATTCGTTGCGGATACTATTGTTTCGTTCAACATAGAGATTCTCGTTCCTATTATAACAATACAATATCGATGGAATACTTATTAACAGTGCACTGTTTTTTACTTCTCAATTAGAACCATCATTATCTTCTTCATTCCACTTTTTACCATACACTATATATTATAGCAATAGAGGAAATTTCGACGAAGAAAACAGCTGATTTCACGTTGGTCAGTATCTAATTTTTGGTATAAATATTTTCAAGATGTCGCAGACTTCATTTGGGCAAGAACTTCGAAATTACAATGCTATCAGATATTAGGAACGTGGCTGACGAGTGTAGCGTGTAGCAAATCGTGTCCGCGAGTGACACGATTAGGTATTAAAAAAAAAAAAAAAAAAAAGTGAGGTGTGAAGTACCTGGTGAAGAGAGATTAACGCAGCTGTCTTATTGTTGTGGATGGAATGATCAACTCTAGGAGGGGAAGTTGGAGCTATGCAATTGGTCGGTTTCCACTGGTTCCTTCGTCAAAGGGTGAAATCTGAATCTGGTTATTCAGTAACACACTGTCTCTCAGTCTAAGTTTATTATGAGAGCTTACGACCCATACCTACCGTCAACCTACCGAAGGGTACACTGCAGGTAAAGTAGTTCCCGCGGCCGGTCTCTATCCTAATACGAGAGTCTCTTATCCACGGGGTACCAGATCGAAGATATTAATGAAACAAAATTCCGCGAAAAGTTTTATCGAAATATTGAATTGCTCGGGTTGTATCCAATGCATTTAATTTACGGAATTTAACGTTACTTCGCGACTACGCACGTAACAAATCGTTTTATTGATTTTTTGACCTGTGCTAATTCTTAATTGATATTACCACTGGTATTGAAAATCATCCATGATTTTTATCACGAAAAACGGATGATTGTTATCGATCGTTCGATCTGCGCTTCAAATCCAATCCTATATATATATATATATATATATATATGTCTCCTGTTACTTATGTATCCTTGCTCCATTAGAGGCCGGCCAACTAAAAATCCCCTTTTATTTAAATTTTTAGGTACGGATTACACTGTTTACGATGCAGCCCGTCTCTCGGCACGCGCGAATCACCCTCATGCTTATTTCTTTGGAGCGTCATTTCTTTACGAAGAGAAAGAGAGAGAAAGACAAACAGAATGGATTAGAAAATTTAGACTGTTTTCATACCAATGGGAAGCGTGAATGACATGTTGCGCCGCGGCACGAAATTTTTTATCGTGAATTGTTAAATTACAATAGGGCGATATGCTCTCTCGTCATTATCATTTGATTCGTGTGTCCGATACGTGATGAACGGAAACCTCGTTCATCAAAAGATTTACCCTGTCATTAATGTACGAAAGGAAGAACAGCTCGATTCATAGTAAACATGTTGATTTGTGATATTTTCAAGTTGAATCTGTGATTCGATTTTTCATATCTTTTTTTTTAAACGGTTACAGTACTTTACGTGCTTATCATTTCCTTTTCAGCAGATGACAGATATTAAAATTCAAGATGATTAGTCTTTTTAATTAATGCGAACGTTCAGTGCTTGCCGTGCGCATTACATGTTAGTATATCAAATTCCTGAGTATTGAAAGTAATTTTTTGAGGGTATAACGTATTGTAGCCTGTATACGTGCTGGCGAGTCCACCGGACGCATTCCGGAGAATCGTCATTGCGGCTATCTCGTGACGCTCCTTGCGCGCTTTGAAAAATTATCAAAGACCGAAAAAGAAATTTAAAAAACGTTCCTGATCAAGATCCCACATATCCGCCTTCCCTGAAGAGACCCGCGATGTCAACGAAAGAGACGTTATCTTGCTTCTGTCGCAAACACGGAAGCAAGATGTTAGATCTCGACGCGTAGCAAGCTCCATGTAAATGTTCATTATTTGCGCGATTACGGTTAACGCTTAATTATAAATATTCTTCTTTTTTTGTCCTTTCTTTCCCACCAATAATCAAAGTCGATGTACGATGAGTGTATATTCGTTAAAGTAATTTTTTTTTCTCCGGTGCTCATTGTCACACTTTCGTTACTTTCTACGTAAACCGGAAGGCGCTCTGCTCCGTTGGAAACGACGGACGATCAACCAGGGGAGTGACTTCCTTGGTTTTCTTTTCTATCTAAATTGACGACTGCCACCCAAGTCGGTGCTCGGGACTTTGAATTAATTTAAAAAAAAAAAAATAAGCATACACGAACGATGATATCATTCGTTTCGTTTATCTTTGTCGTTCACTTAAGACTTTATTTCTTCTTTCGTTGCTCCTTCTCTTCCAGTTTGATTTTGGGTCGACATTTTGTTCTCCCGAAGATTCGCGCAAATGTGTCACGTGCCGCCTACACCAAGGACTTCAACGATATAACGTAAATCGGTTGTTCCTCGGGCCTAATCGATTCGTACGCAGAGACTCTTATTCGCTATTATCTCTAAGCCGATTGTCAGGCTAATTATCGTTGATGAGCAAGGAAGGGGCACGGGGACGGACGTGAATACAGGGAGAAAAGAATGACGAATAGAGAGAGAGAAAGAGAGAGGAATCGTATGGCTGCGGCGCGGCGAAGAGAGAACGGGCAACGCGCGGCGCGACCATCTCAAAATCGCGAACCTCTTGACTAACGATATTTTTTCTGACCTTAGGCTTGTTATCTGAAGGCGATCGAGACGCGGCCTGACTTTGCCGTCGCTTGGAGCAATCTCGGTTGCGTTTTCAACGCTCAGGGTGAGATATGGCTTGCCATTCATCATTTCGAAAAGGCTGTGGCTTTGGATCCTAATTTCCTGGACGCCTACATCAACCTTGGTAACGTCTTGAAGGAAGCCCGTATCTTTGACCGGTATGTATACGATTTTTCAAAGTAAAGTCTTTTCTACTCTGTATTGGTATACGCGTCAGCATTATTTGCATAGTTTAAAACTATCCATGGTTTGAATTTCAAATTCTTGTAGACTTTATATTCAATAAGATTTTACCCTTTTTTAATTCCGACTGATCTCAGACTCTTCCAATAGGGTATTTATGATATGCACGAGATATAGCTGTCGGTTTACACTTTACCTGCATTCTGCTTCTTTTTACTCGACATCCAGCAGTGCATCCACTCTTCCTAAGATGGTCCACGACCAACATGAAGATGAACTCTTTGATCTCGTGCCGAATGAGTACTCCCAAGAAAATCCAAAGAACTTGATGAAAAGCTCGTACCAGCGACGCTAAGGCTGTTTTTATTTGAAACTCAAGTTATAAAAAAAAGTTGGGCGTTCGAAATCAAACCATAAAACTAGGGCGAAAGTTAATTACGGCTTTGAACTGAACATCCGCTCTAATCAGCATTAGTGCTAAGTACACTAGTGTGTGTATCGGTGTCCTGACGTGGGAGAAGAAAAAAAATTGTAGGATGCGAGCCAAACCACAGAGAACACTTTTGGGTTATCTCGTCGCTTAACTTATTATCGACTATGGTTACGTGTACTGTGAAAATAGGTCAAGAGATGACGCGCCCTTTGTTCCCAACGAAAAAGTCTCGTTTATTTTCACACCGCTGAATGGGATTGGCTTGGTTGTTCACGTTTTTGTTCTCCATTCCTACAGAACGTATCTGCCTTCGCTGCAGAGAAGGAGACACTAATATTCCTATAACACATTCGGTTAGCGAACAGAGGAAAGTTGGAGAGGGGTAGGGGGGGCGGAGTCCAGCAAAGTGCAAAGTAACCTAAGAATCTATCCGACGTTGCTCTTTTTTTCTCTCTCTTATCTCATATCTCCAATCTCTTTTGGATCTTCTCTTTTCTTTCCAAAACTACCAAACTCATTTGAAGCATTCGCTCCAAATTGGTATTTGCTACTAGCTATGTACATTTCGAGCGTACCGGGTTTCTTCATTTAATATTCTGGAATTTGTTATGGGAACGATGTTAAGCTTACGGATTTTTTTGTTACTTTTAAATTTGCCCTTTTCAAGTACGTCATCACGTGTATAAACTAGCAATATTTTGACAGAACAGTCACCTGAATAAATCTCTTTGAGGGGTTATATCGACATTGAAATTGTTGATTTTTTTCCAAATAATTATAAAAAAAGGATGAGGTAGTTCGTTAAGCACTCTGTTGGAGAACGTAATTGCAGCTTTACCAGTCAATGCAGCAGCATGGTCGAAAGGCTTTCAATTAAAACACTGACATGCGGAACTTTATTAGTTTCCTTCCATTAGTGCACAGTGGATACACCCCTCAGGCTAATGAGAACAATTTGTCGAGGGGATGTTGAAGTATTGGAATTTGTTTTAAGAGGAGAAAATAATTTGTTTAATGTCTTTAAAAGACTGCCAGACAAATGACTAACGAGCACTCGATGAAGTGACTATTGATGCGCAATTACATCCTTCCTCTCGATCCCCATCTCTTTAATTCTTCCATTTATTTCATTCTATTTACTTAACGTTGATGACGTTCTTTGATACATTCATTGAGTGGTTTATCAATTAATCCGTGTCCCAGTGGGTGATTGTGCTGTGCCATTCGGTACGGTATTGCTGAGAATGTCAATTGGATTCCGTAAATAACTGAAATGGCGTCGTTCCTTCTCTTGTATTTTACGAGGATGCTTTAGCGCAGATGTGGGATCATATCAGGAAAGTCCCGGAAGTACTATCAGGATTTTTTTTTTTTTTTTTTTTTTTTTTTTTTTTTTTTTTTTTTTTTTTTTTTTTTTTTTTTTTTTTTTTTTTTTTTTTTTTTACTGTTATTCGTCAGAATTCTATTCATGAAAACATTCTGAATACTCGAGTCCGACGAGAAAAGTTATTTAAATTCAGAATGAATGACTGTCTCTCTTAAATACGATTTTTCTCAATAATCATTGAATAACTTTCTTAAGGAGATTCTGTACGTATCATTGCCAAGCGGAAACTCCGTTATGTCCTGCCAAGTGTCTACTAAAAATTCATCACTCATGTACACTCCAGACGCTATCCGCGAGCACTGACTTGAGGTTACGAAGAAAAAGATGGCAGAGTAATAGCTCTCTGAAGGAAGTCAGAGCTCGAGCCAAGTATCAGGATTTTGACAAACGACATGAGCGAGGAGAAAATATCGAAGAACAATTCTCCTGCGGTAGAAATTCAGCAGTCTCGGTCGGCCATTTACTTCGATAATGATTTATTATCTTTCTTTAGTATTGGCCGGCGCTGCTGTAGATTCGATGCCGTAATTCTTCGCGTATAGCTAATACAACAATGGACCTGATACGAGGATCTATATCGCTCGTAATGGAGGATGATGTCTTTTCTTCTTCAAACATTTCTGTGAAAAATTTTCCGGGAAACAAACTCATTTCTCTTTGGCTTTATTGGGAACGAGAAGAAGCCTTCCGAATGGTCTCTGCTTTTATTCTCTATCAATTGGCAGCCAATAAATTACGTAAAGGCTGACGTTGTTCCACCCACGAATATCCGTTTCACGATTTACGAGTTTCTCGGCTTTCTAGAATTTTGTATTTCACACGTTTTCGCTTTGGTCTTTATACAAAGACAGAGTAATAACGCTAAACAAGCTCGAAAACACTTGTTACCCTTATACACCGTATATTTGTATTATGATAGTTTACGTTAATAGTAATTAGGTAGAAGCATAGTAATAATGTTACGATTATTTCGCACGTAAACTTTGCATCTACGGAAATTGTTTTATATGCGTGACGCATTGCGTGCTGTAAATTGAGGGTCGATTAAATGAAAAAAATCCGTACAAAGTTTTTTCCACTCGAAGAATTCGCGCTGCGCCTTTTTACGAGGGTTATTTTTGACGTTCAGAAACTCGACGTGCAATTTTCATGGTAAATACCAGCTGTAGCGTATTCTCTGCGGCATGTATACAATCCATCAAAATGACACAAACATGTTTGCTATTTTGCAGTTTCGCAAAACAGAGGAATGGAGATGAAAATGAATTTATCATAACAGAAAGGGAAGTAACTTTGGTACTTAGACGGATTTTCTGCAAAAATTCTATAAAGTGCAAAATCAGTTTTATTACGGATACGAAAGGCAGTCGTAGCGGTACTCGTCGGTAATAAGATTTCAGAATGTCGATTATCAATTAAGTTGTGCAGACTGGAATCGCTTTACCAGATCACGTGTCTGTGTGATTTGCGACCAGTAAATTCCGAATAGTTGATTCACACGGGAAATTCATTATTCCCTTAAAGCGGCTTAAAAGTTGCTTTCTCAACTCTTTAATTTTCATCTGTAATATTTGTGAGGTATCTAGGGAAAACGATATTCCCTAGGAAACCCCGATAAATGAGTATATCTATATATACTGTGAATGTGTTTCATAACTGTCACACCCCCTACGCGCAATATCACGTCGATTTGTCACTTCACAGATATCGTCACAGATACAACGTTTACAATATGAATAACCAGTTTGCGAAATCATCTTCTAATTCCTCATCTCCTAACCAGCAGGAATAGCTGAAGGTTTTCACGGCTAGTCCATTGATTTGCGTTATAGTAACTATATCGAAGATGCTAATTGCGAACTGTTGGAACCTTTACTTCTTGGTCAGTTCTGCCAATCGTACTTTTTACTGGTATTTCTTTTCTGATTTTGCTCTACTGTCTTTATTACACTGTGCGGTCATGGATGGAACGAATGGTGCAGCTACATTCAAGATATTTACGGTATCGTTGTATCGTGCCTGTTGACCTAAAAATTTCTAGGGATTTATTTTGAACTATATTTTAGACTAAAATTTCGCTCTTTGCTCCATTTAAATTTGTTCATTGTTTCCTATAAAATTGTAATGCGAGGAGTTGTGGGAATAGTGAAAAAGTGTGCATATGATTTTACCTTATGATTCGAGTAATTCAGAATTTTCATACTCACACTTTCATGATCACTTTATACAACCACCTTATTTCCAAGATCGTTATATAGCGAAGAAACAGCGTCATGAAATTCTAAGAGCACATAATTTGTGCATCGGTGAACATTATATTACTTTCCTTTTTCACAAATATAGCCTGTCGATTTGCCTGACCATTTCACGACAATTTCGTATGGCATTCTACTGTCCAATAGTACATTGGCGTTAGTTCAATATGTCCAAAGTTCGTATCATGCGTCCTTTATACGAATCCACGAAGCCATTTCACAACACATTACGCAAAGTTATCACGAAGTGTACAAGTGATATATATCTGTACAGTTTCTAGTCCTTACAGCTTCTACTGCTCGATGAAATATAACCAGGACGAACTATCGTGCGAATTTTCAAAACCAGGGACGTGGAAACTAGCGATTTGTAATGCACGGGATATTCCCAAGCAGAATTACCATTATTACGTCACTATGATAATCACAACATTTATCATCGTCTAGTTTTCAAGAAAACAACCTGGATCGTTAATGCAGTTTCTAACTGAAACATTTCTATCTTGAATGTCCCAACCTTTCAAAAATTTTTCGAATTGTTATTCACATCAGCCGAGCTTTTATCCCATTGGACAAAAAATTGTAAGCGTTCCGTATGATTGATAGACCTCATTTAAATCAATGTTTCGTAAGAGAAAAACAAGCCAATCGTTGAATCTCACTTTTCGTCAGGTTTATTGCGATTTCTATCACTCACATAACTCAACTTTTACTTTATCGCATTATCTTTCGTATCCATACTCCTGATACATTCTAACTGCAAGTAACACTCTCAGCTTGGTCTCCATTTACTGTGGATTCATTTAATGGTCACGGCATGATATTAGAAACGCGTTTTGTTATTCTCTTCTAAAAGTGTATTTCCTGCGTAACTAATGAGGGTTAAAGCGTTTCAGCAGC